CTTATTATAAAATCCTGTTTGACTTTTATTTTGGTTCTAAATATAATATTCCAATCCACTTTGTCTCTCATATTTATTTTTTTTCCTAAAATAGTCATTCTAACAATAATAGTTCTCGCCAATACACTTGATTAGTAAAGATATTTTAAAAAAGACAACACTTATTTAGGATAAATAACTAACTCAACTTACTTCTTTAATCTCCTCAAATTAGTCAACTGACTCTTATAATTAGGACCGGAGATAGTATCTAATAATTTCACATCACTAATTTAATTCTGTTTGTGACACTTCAATGAATTTTAACACAATTATATTTTCAGATGTTAACATTTTAAGATTGATTATAAATTTAAGGGATTAATGTTTTAGGTTTGAAATTTGAAACACTAAACTCAGATTTTATAGACAAAAAATTATATTAAACCGATATAAAATTAGAACCATAAAGGTAATACCGTATTACACACAGTTTTAGCTAACGTGGGTCTAGCGCCACATCGATTCGATAAATGAGTAAATTCCTCACTCACCATAGATAATATTTATATATATAATCTAGATATCTAAGTGTATGTTTTTTTTTTGGCCACGTGTCTTTTTACGTAATACTACCTCCAATCTTTAATATAGGAGTTAGTTTGATTTTTAATTTTGTCTTAAATATAAGACTCTAATCTATTTTTTTATATTTATCTATTTTTTTCAAAATAATCCTTATAATAGTTGTACATGTCAAAAATTTCATTAAATAGTAGTTTTAGTTAATATACATGATTAGTAAATGTATTATATAAAAAATAATATTTATTTATTTTAAATAATCAACTCAACTAATTTTTTGCTCTTCTAAAATTAGTCAAATGGTACTCTGCCACAAAAAAAAAAATCACAGCCATGGGCGAGTCTGTTAACTTTTTGGTAACGATGAGAGAATATTTTTATTTAGAGAGTTGCAAAAATTTATTTTGGTCTTCAAATAAAATTTTAATCTACTTTATTTTTTAAATATATATATTTTAAATTTTTCGTACTAGTATTAACTTTACATATTAAGAGGATTTTTATCGTGAAATCATTTTCAATGGAAATAATTAACTGGACACAGACAGCCCGTTAGATTGACTCCGGCGCATTCCAGAATTTTAAAGGTGCGCATACCGTAGCACCCTCTCAGCAGCAACATAGGAGCGATATGTTTGGATTGATATTAAATAAAACTGACTTCTAGTGTAACTTATTTTTATAACTGAAGTTAGAGTAAAAGTCAGTTAAGATATGTTTAGATAGATGTTTTTAAAAAACCAATTGAAAAGGTTAAAAATTGTTTAGATGATTAATAGAAAAATAAATTTAATTATAAAATGACTGAAAATGACATAAATTTTATTGAATAGTAGTGTTTGAAATTTTATGTTTTTAATGTGATAAGAGTTTAAAAAAATACATAAAATTATTATGATAAAATATAAATAGTTTATTTGTGAAATTATAAAATAAAATATTTGTTACGGAAAAAATTTGAAAACACATTGTAAATAAATTTAAAAACACATTATAAATAATTAATTAAATATATATAATGAATGAGCACAAATATAAATTAAAATTCATTTGAACTAAATAAAAGCTTGTTATGCCAATATAAGAGCGGCTCCAGTAGTCAAATCAAAGGATGTTTATATATCATTAAAACTTCCTATCTAAATACTTCCCAGAGTCCGTTTAAGTTCATTCAAACGCCTGTTTTATTAGCTTTCGGGGTTGTGGTGAGTTAAATTCTGGAGTCAATTTGCTGGTTAAAAAAAAAAAAAACAATCACGAGTCAATTTTTTTCTTGATGTCCAAATATAAATCATCTTATACCAATTTATTTTCACCCAAACTTTAATTGAAATTTCAGCTTTGAAATCATTAGTTCGAACATTAATGTAGATTCAAGTCCCTGTTGGCAAAAAAAAAAAAACATTGTGCTTTTCTTACCTTATTTATAAATCATTTCCAACATGTTTTATACAAAATAAGAAAAATCTTAAATTTCATTAACTCTCATTTAAAATTTAATAACTTTCCAATTTTATTCCTATTTATTATACATTATATTATATTAGAACAAAGTCAATACAATATTAAATAAATGATAAAATTGTATATTTATATAAAAATGTTCTCTCAAATTTATAAATGATGAAAAATTGCTTCTCTTGCTACCATATAAGGGTGTGCTTGGATGAAACCAAACCATGGTTTGGAGAATAGATTCTGGGAAGAATAAATTCTGTGAAGAATAAATTTTGTAAAAAAGTAATTCTGAGAAGTGAGAGTGTTTGGATAGTTGTTATTCAAAGTACTTTTTATATATACAAATTACTAAAAAAACATAAATTAATATGATAATTATATAAAAGATAAATTTTATGATATATTTTAATTTGAAGGAATAAAATTGTTAATAATATATTTTTTACTAACATAATTAATAATACATAAGATAATATAATTAATAAATAATTAATATGTGTATATATGTTTATAAGATATAAGGTTAAATATGTTTATAAAAAAATAATTGAAAAATGTTAAAGTCATATTATTGTTGAGATCTACTCTGACAGGCACAATCATCTCTCCAATTTGAGCCAGAAGCAGAATGAATTCACTTCTCCTGAAACCATGGTTTTGACCCAAACCATGGTTTTAGATTATTGGCCCAAAATTAATGCTGTTTGGGTGATATCTCACCAAAACTATGGTTTTGCCTCCCAAACCATAGTTTTGAGGGTCATCCAAACAGACCTTAAATAGAATATGAAGAGTAGTTTATTATTGCTACTTTCACCCAAACTTTAACTTCTTTTTATAAATTAAAAAGTTTATAGTGAATTAGGTTCCAGAAACTTGTAAGAAACCAAAAAAAAAACACTTGCAAAGCTACTTGCAAATCGTCACCAATAAAGTGCTCACATTAATAGTAAGATTTATCCAAACTTTAACTTGCAAACTTCAATTCCGGTCAAAAAAAAACTTGCAAACTTCAATTTATGTTAGCCTCTATTTGTGATAATCTATGAAAATATCTCGATGGTGGCTTTTCCCCAGTTCGACTGCCTCAAAATGCACGGTATTTGGCAAAGCCAATAATTTTCTTCTTCGCAAATGGCACATTAAAACTCGTGAAACGTATTTAAATCTGCAAATCTAATTCTGGGTGGTATTGTTTAAATTAGGTTTTGGAGACAATTTCAGTTTGTAAAACAATAGCTTCAAAATAGTCAAACATGGTTGGAAGATAAATTAAGTTCTCCCAAATTCAATTTGGACGCTTGAATTGGAATCCAAACGCGCCCTAATATCATCATCTTTTTTTTTACCACTGCCTTACTGAAGTTGGGGAAAATTCGGGGTTTTAAGTGTCTGACGTGGTTATTAGCCAAAAGAAAACCAAAGGAATGTCCCATGCAGTTAAACCATACGAGAAGAAAGAATTGGTAAGGGCACTGCAGGCTGAAGAAGGCATTATATTACCATCTCATATTTTTAATACTCCTCCGGTCCTAATTATAAGACCCAATTGATTTATTTGAGGAGATTAAGGAAGTAAGTTAAGTTGGTTATTTATAATAAATAAGTGTTGTCATTCTTAAAATATCCTTACTAATTAAATATATTGGTTTAAACTATCATTATTAGAAGGATTATCTTGGAAAAAAATGCATAAATATAAGAAACAAAATGGATTGGGTCTTATAATTAGGACCAAATAAAAAGTCAAATTGGGTCTTATAATAAGGACCGGAGGAGTATAAGATCTTGTTTGACTTTTATTTTAGTCATAAATATAATATCTTAATTTACCTTGTCTCTTATATTTATCTATTTTTTAAATAGTTTTTATAATAATGATAGTTCTACCCAATATACTTGATTAATAAGAATATTTTAGAAAAATAATACATATTTATTACAAATAACTAACTTAACTAGTTTCTTTGATTTATACAAATTAGTCAATTATCTCTTATTTTAAAGACCAGAAGCAGTATAAGATAGCCAGCGCTTTATTGTGAACAATTATAAAAATCATAATCATGCCAAAATCCAAAAAAGCAGGTAGTAGTATCTAGATTTTTATTCTCTTGCAATAACGCAGCTTCACATGATTCAATACTATGATTCCGTTCCTACGAAGACGATGTGCCGTGAATTTGTCCCCGAAAAAAAGTTTTCCCTTTGCACATATACTGCTCCTTCTCAACAGTTTTGTTCCAATTTTAATTGTCTGGTAATTATTTTAACCAAATTAGACAAAAAATTTTAAAATTGAAGAATAAAATGAAGCCCTGCAAAATTTTACGAAATATGGTGAAATTGTAAATAATTCCCTCATCAGCATCTGAGAGGCAACAGAAGCAATGGCGCCATTTATGTGAATTTGAACTCCCGCGACGTCCATGACGATAGCGCTCCAATTCCATAATATACGGGTGAGGCGGTGAGGCCACTCGGTCTCTTTCGTTTTAGAATTAGAACAGAACTCTGAACTTACCAAAAAAAAAAATCAGAACTCTGAACCCTAGTTCCAAAGCCACGCTTTCCAAATTCGAAGCCCGCCAAGCCACTGCTTTCCCACCCCTTTTTACCGTCCCGCTATTCTGACTGCGTCGTTCGAGGGATCTCTTTCAGCTAGCCTCCTGTTCCACTCTTTCTTGGATATGTCTTCGCCTGTTCCTCAAGAATTTGATTCCACCCCGCAGATCTACTCTCGGAAAGACAAGTCACTTGGATTACTCAGCTCTAAGTAAACCCCTTTTCAACTGACGGATTCACTGGGTTTGAATATTGTCTTTTTCGGATTTATACATCTTTTTATGTTATTTGAAGATGATTTCTTTGCATTCAGCTTCCTCAAGTTATATAATCGGGAAGGTATTGGGACGATTGGACTTGACGATGCTGCTTCCCACTAGGTTTACGCCTTTACTTGCTTTTGCTCCTCCTTTGTTTCCATTTTTCCTTGAATTTTTCTTAGCTGCTTTGAAGTTGCAAGATGGAAATTCGGACAGTCGAATCGGTCCTGCTTTTTCCGAGATCCCGATTCTGATATTAACCACTCACTTGAATTTCCAGGAGTTCAGCGTCGCCGCATGTATGATGTAGTGAACATATTGGAGAGCGTTGGAGTAAGCGGGGTTTTATGATTTACTTAAAAACAGATCCTTTCTTTCTTTTTCTTTTTTTTTGGGTTTTGAATCACTTAGTTTATTGTTTTGTTTTCCAAAAAAAAAAAAATCTCTAGATTGTCGCAAGAAAAGGGAAAAATCTGTACCTATGGAAAGGTTTCAGAGAAATTCCTCGAGCTTTGAACGAGCTTAAGGTAAGCAGACGTTTTCTTCCTTCTCATGAGTTATTTTGTTTGAACCTGATAACTCGGAGGTGACCTGCGCTATATTATGCACACAGGAGGAAGGTATGAGAGAAAAATTTGATGCATCCTACTGCAGGTCAGCTGAAGTAAGTTTGATATTTTAGTTTGGTCATTTGAGTGTTTAAGGGTGCTCCGTTGATGACAAATTAGCCATACTTTCACTGGTACACACGAGGAGGCGAAGCTAAAGAGCTAGTTTTTGAAATAGCTGAATCTTAGAAACTTTCTTTTGGGACACTTGATGGAATGGGTTGGGTTTTAATCTTGCATTTACATGTTTCTTTCTTTTCATACTATCATTTTGGAATTTTTAGTGACTCTGAGTTAAACATATCAGACATCAAAGAACAAAGAAAGCGGTGGCTCTGAAACTAAAACTGGTCCTTTGGCAGCGGCATTGCGCAAAACTGGTAACGTCTTCTTCCTCCCTATTCTCACACGATAGGTTGCAAAATCAATCATTAACATTTTATATCTCGTCCTTGCTGTAAAATATGCCTCAAATTCCCCGTTGTAGATTGGTCAATGACAGTGCGACATCATTTCTCTTATTTTTGCTGCCATTCTTTTGGCAATGACTTATATAGATCATTCCTGTTATAGACGGCTGCAGAAGAGACAAATCTATGGCACTTTTGACCGAGAATTTCATAAAGCTCTTCCTCTGTTCAGATGTATGTGATATTTCTTTTGCATGTATCATGTTCTGAATTTTTGTTTGTGCAGTTTTATGATTGGTTTGGCACTGCTATAACTTCCTTCAGGTTGAAATTATCTTGCTTGAAGATGCTGCAAAGGTAATGCCGGGTGATGCCCAGAATTCAACTGCCTTGAGAAGTAATTGACTCCACGCTTACACCCTTAAGAGTGATTCTCACATTATATTGTCAACTTGAGGAAGGACGAAATGAATGACGTTATCACTTTTATCTTCTTATATGGTTATGCAGCAAAAGTCAGGCGTTTATATGACATAGCGAATGTCCTTTCATCAATCAATCTGATCGAGAAGGTAAAACAAATAGCCTACAAATATTTCTTAAGCTCCTAAAATTCGATAAAAGTGAGCCTAATTTTTCCTTTTTAAAAAAAAAACGAACAAACAAATATGTGCAGACGAATCATCCGAGTATAGGAAAACAGCATATAGGTGGTTGGGAGGGAAAGCCAGTAGAGAATCTGATGGCATGTTGGATCAAAGTGCATCCAGGAAGAGAGTGTTTGGTGCGGAAATTACAAATTACAGTCTGAAGAGAAATAAAACAGACTCTTCAATGGATTCGCAGTCCCATGGAAAGGTTGTGCCAGTGCATAAAAAACAAGATGATTTGGAAAATGAATACAGATGTAAAACTCTGGAGCAGCCCCCTAAATGCAGTTCGAAGGCCATAGACTTTGGCCCTTTTGCTCCTGTCAAGTTTAGAAGAGAAGATCCAGAGCACAGACGCATGGGACAGGTTCACGACATGGAGACAATGAGTTCTAAATATCGCCGAGAGTATCACAACTAAGGTGAATTTTAAATGTTATATTCTAAGGGTCATTAAGATCTAAACTGTACCTTGCATAATTAATTTGATTATATGATGGAAGGGGGGGTCTTATTGCGTGCTCAAATTAAAGCCAGTAGTTGTTGACTGGGCTGGTCTATTCTTTCACATGCTCTTATTCACTGAGGTCTAAGAAAGAAGAGGTGAAAGTATCCTGTAAACTCGGTTTATGTGGTTAGAAGTCTGCTGTCCCTTAAACCCTAGCACTGGGAAATACTTGCTCATTCCATCCTGGACAAAGGTGATGTTGAAAGTCGATAATGAGCTGTTCACCTGAGTTGTGCTTCTGTTTGACTTGAAATTTGTATCTCATTTCACTTGAAGAATCACGACACGCATCCACTTTCACTTGCGTGTAAGTAGCGGTTGTATTGTTGAATTGGTGGTGTCATATTCTCTTGTTAGTTACACTATTCTGTCTCATTGTTCTGGTCTCAGTTTTTTTTGGAAACTACTGACACTATACGCATAGAATTCAACTTACGGTTATAAACTTACGATGAATATAGTGGGAATACTAGTGAATGTGAAACTATCAAAGTCTGTCGTTCTCCATGTTATATGACTCTATGATCTAAACCATTGCAGTGACCCAATGTAAGGATAGTTTGTTGATGGTGTGACGGCTGTGATAGTGAGCAGCCTCTTTGCTCATTACGTGGATGCGTAGCCTGTT